GCGAAATTCCATCCTTTGGGTATGAAGAAAAGAGAGGGGGGGGGGGGGGGGAGAGAAAGAACATATTTTGGAGAGGTTCGGGACAACTGTACAAGTCCCCGTATCAGCTGGGACAGACGTACAGAGACAGAATGAAGCACTTCATAATCTTATTTTCTTTTCTATCAGTCAATTTGAGACAGAGCCATTCCACCTAAAATCTATTAATTAATTCTTGCCAATGGATAAATATGTGGGCCTCTCAATAGATTAAAGGACCCAGATAGCATCAATTGTTATAAACTGCATGTAAGAAAGCCTGCTATGCTGCTGTCTCACTGTGTTTTCCCTAATTCTAAAAGTGGAGGATCCAGAACACTTAAGAGAAAAATAACCGAATGTACAAACACACAGGGAAACTTATCACTATGCCATCAAACACATCAAGTAAAAAACATTCTTTTTTTCCTTTGCTGTCTGCCTCCAAAACACAGGCATTTTTCATCTTTGCAGGTTTCCTTTTCATTCTCTCTCAAACATTCAGGCTGCCTCACTTTAGGTACTGAAATAATGTAATTTAAGTGTAGATCCATGATGCAAAGACAAGAAATAGTTATATGTTCTCCTGAACACTGTGGCTTTACAATTCAAGCAAAGGAGCATATTAAAATACAAAGCAATGCTACTCTTTTCTTATCTGTACACTTTAGAAATTATATGAGTTGGCATAGTAACTTTCATTGAGACTAAACTAAGCATGCAGATGATATGATTTTATCATAGTATGTTTGAACTAGTATTGACAGACAATGTAAATGAATGTTGACAGTACTGTGTAGGCATCTTGTCTGTATGAACCTCTAACTAGTTACATCCTAAATGCTACTCTTTTCTTATCTGTACACTTTAGAAATTATATGAGTTGGCATAGTAACTTTCATTGAGACTAAACTAAGCATGCAGATGATATGATTTTATCATAGTATGTTTGAACTAGTATTGACAGACAATGTAAATGAATGTTGACAGTACTGTGTAGGCATCTTGTCTGTATGAACCTCTAACTAGTTACATCCTAAAAGTGCATCTATTCCTGCTGAAACAAGATATATCACAAGTGAAAAGGTTTGTTATAATACTAAGTAATATATCACAAGTGAAAAGGTTTGTTATAATACTCCTTTAATATAAGAATGTCCAAGAGCCAGGCTTTTCTTTTTCCTGTACTATGGGTACCAGACACCTTGAATGTAATTAGATTAAAAAAAGCAAAGAGACAGGCCTACCTAAAACTCGTAGACTGGCGGAAGATGAAACCGAACCCATATCGTTTGCAGCTATACATGTATAGATACCATCGTCTTCTGCAGTGACGCCAATGATTTTCAGTGAAGCCTCTCCTAAGTCACTGGGAAACACAATGGCATCCGTTAACTTTATATTCATTTTACAGACCTTAAATTATGGAAATCAGACAAAGTTAGATCGACACTGTTAATATTTGTTATTCTCTAGCCCCTATCTCTCTCTGGACAAACATTACTAATGCTGCCCCTGCCATTTCAGAAGCGTCTACCAGAATTTGAGCACTTTGTGTCCATCAAGTCTCTTGGAATGTCCTACAGACTATTAGAAAAACATCCTCACTGACACTCTGTCTCAGCATGTCCTAGGCTCCATTGTGTTTGAAAAATCAAATGGTTCCCCTATTTCTTCCTGCTTCCTCCACTTCCTTCAAATTATGAGAAGCCGTATCGAGACAACCATCCATCGTTGTTCTTTCCGAAAGGCTAGTTTCCATTCCTGACTCCCAGCATATAGAAGCTGATCTAACATCTGTACTTTCAGAACATTCATCCCTTGTAAGAGAGGGCTCCACCTTCAATACAAAAGGCACACCTCACCACAGTTTTGGAGACCTCAGAATCTGGAAGAACGAGGATGGGAGGAAACTGAAGACTTAAGTTTTCCCTCTGCTCCACAGAAAGACCACAGGAAAAGGATTCTGCAGACTCTTCCTTAATCTTTCTCACTGCGCAACCACCCTTTTTGTTTGATGGTTTGTCTTCAAATGGCTACTTAACTGTTCTTCTGTGCAATTCTTGTCTAGTACTTTTTTGACCATCTGCCATGGACATGAACAGCAGATAATTCTATTTGCAGAAGTCTCTTACAAATGTGAATACTTGGCAAGTCCTCCCTACACTTTTCACCTCTAGGCTCAAAACAACACTAACATTGTGTCATTCTTTCACAATAGGGCATATTTTCAAGATTTTCTATCATTCTTATTGTTTTCCTCTGGATTCATCCCAGTTACTGCAAGTCATTTGACTGACTGAACCAAAAACTATTTTTCACGGTCTTCACCACACGATTAATTTCAGGGAAAAAAAATGAATGTAAATTTTAGGAACATAGGAAGATGACCCCCCTCCCCCAGCTCAAAGAACATTTCATGATTATTATTTCTAAAAATCTGTCATTCACAGCCAACATGATTTACTGAATATAATTCTGTAACAGTAATGGATCACAGTGAATTAAACCTAGTGAATCTAACTCTTACTCATCTCTCGTAATGGTCCTGGATGCAGTAGCAGAGCTGCCACAATGCCTCTGTCTCCCATAAAAAAAATTATACCCAGTGAAAAGGAAAAAGCAGCAGGAGGTAAAAAAGAACAGTATAACATGCCATCAAGTTTGCAGGTAAGCTGGGCTATACCATACAACCTCTAAGAAGATGACATACTCTTCTATCTATTATTGAGGAAAGTTTTCACCCACCCCCCCCCTCATTCTGAATTAAGAGCATAATTCATAAACAAGACACTTCTTCGCACTGAAGTTACTCATTAAACAACATTTTCTGTATATAAAAGAATGCATTTTCAGAAAAAAAAAATTTCTAACACACAGTTTCACATTCCAAAATACAGCAATTTCTCTTATTAATCAGATGTTTGAGTTCCCAGTTAGTCTGTTAAGTTCTATCACAGCAAAGCTAAAACCAGACAAAAATGTTAACTTCCGTGCTTCAACAATGAAGACAGTGACATTGCCAGGTCAGTAGGAACCAGAGGCTTTTCTTTGCAAAATACTGTAGTGTGATCTGAAAGCAGTCATTTGCCTCAAAAATGATGGTAATGCTACTAATAGAAATAAGCAATTGGCAGATGGCATGTCACAGCACTGGCATGTCACAACATACTGTTCTGGTTCAAGCACTAGGTAAGCGTGACAGAACCACAACGGCTTCTGCAATAGCTAATCAGAAGTACCAGCCAAATTTTCTTTTGTTTTTAAAAATCAACTGAATATGACATTTCGGTACCCCACCCATACATAGAAGTTACACATCATCTCCGGAAAATCCCAGCTGTGAAATATTTCTGTCTGAGGGCAACCCTATGTTTATGCCTCAAAGCCAAAAGCTATCCTGCACCAAGGGTGCAAATAGAAAATATAACATTTCAGCAGTTCCTGTTGAAAATTACACAAATTACTGTACCTGTACGAAATGCTGTGATGACCGTCATTGCTCAGTGTGTTATGATCAGGACCTTTCCAAGTAACTGAAGCCTTGGGGCGACCACAGACTTTACACCTAAGCACGATGGTCTCTCCTGTCTCACATGTTACCTCACTCAATGGTATTATAAACTCTGGGGGAACTGGAAAAAGAAAATTAATGGCATTAGGTCAATTGAAGTTAATCAATTTGCTTTTCTATTCCTTGCACACTCTCTTTTCTATTAGACAAAGTAGTATGGTACTTTAAATTTCCAAGGTGTATCTATCCCTCTACCCTTGGAGCACATCCGTGGTTAGGCCACTTGATGGGGATCTGCAGGTCTAGTGAATTTTTCTCTGCATGAACTTGGACACAACACTACTGCTATGCCACGGTTAACCCTGAAGCCTACCATGGTGAACCAAACACCCTGTTTATGGCAAGCTGAGGAAACCCTACAATGAAAAGTATTTAAGGACGTCCTCAGCTAGGCTATCTTTACATCCAGCTAAGTTTGCAAAACACCTCACTCATCCACTGAGGCACTGTAGCAGTTTCCCATTTTGCATACAGCTCAAAAAGTTTGGTTCTGTTTATTAAGATAAAAACCCAGTTTGGCTCTGACCCCAGAGGGCCACTATCTTTGTCCTGATTAGCCTCTGCACTGAACAGGCTCTGAATGTTCCCTAGGCTGCAAGGTTAAAAATGAAGCAGGTGGTCTCCAATTCCTGGCCTTGTTATTCTGCAAATTCAGCAAGGCCCAACTTCCATACAGTCTCCATGCAAATGCAGTAGAGTGCAAATCTTTCTGAACACGTCATATCGTCATTGTGTTTTATGTTGTTTTGGACTTGTGAACAAAAATTAGTTCCTTGCATTTTAAAAAATAAATACAACATTTCATTAACTGTCTCCCTTATGCAAAAAGAGCTTATGTATATTTTGATAAAAACCACTTAGTTCCTGACGTAATTCATGTCAAGCAAATTTAAAACAAAGTAAAACATGTTCTAATCAAATTATATTCACTGGGACTTTTAAAATTTAAAGCAACTTACCATCATAAATGTAATTGGGATTGAGAAGCTGGAAAGGAGAAATTAAAGAATTAATGTCCTTATAACTTTATAAGAAATTAAAGAATGGTAGAAAACAAAGTACAGAGATGGTTCAAAGTTAGCTGTACCCATGTCCTGGTTTTGGCTAGGATAGCGTTAATTTTCTTCCTAGTAGCTGGTACAGTGCTGTGTTTTGGATTTAGGATGAGAACAATGTTGATAGCACACCCATGTTTTAGTTGTTGCTAAGCAGTGCTTACACTAGTCAAGGACTTTTCAGCTTCCCATGCTCTACTGACTGAGAAGGCTGGAGGTGCACAAGAAGCTGGGAGGGGGCACAGCCAGGACAGCTGACCCAAACTGGCCCAAGGGACATTCCATACCATGTGACGTCATGCTCAGTACATAAACTGGGGAAAGCTGGCCAGGGGGGCCGCTGCTCGGGGACTGGCTGGACATCAGTTGGTGGGTGGTGAGCAATTGCATTGTGCATCACTTGCTTTGTATATTCTTTATTGCTTATTGCTATTATTATTACAATTTTATTTCAATTATTAAACTGTTTTTATCATGAGTTTTCTCACTTTTACTCTTCCGATTCTCTCCCCCATCCCACCAGGGCGGGGGGGGAGAGTGAGCGAGCAGCTGTGTGGTGCTCAGTTGCCGGCCGAGGTTAAACCATGACAACCCACAAAGATCCAAGAAACATCTGAACACCAGAATTTCTGCACCGCTCTGCTCCTTCTGCAGTATCCTTATGCTATATCACGCTTGCAGGCTCAAAGATTATCTCTTCCCGTTTTCAGACTGGGCAAACACTGTCCATTAAAACCATGGTTGCCTCCAATTCCTTCATGTGAAATTCTGACAGAAGTTACTTTTAAAGAAATCCCAACACAGCTGCTTTTGGAAACTACTACATCTTTGTAACATTTACCTTTACAGAAACCTTGTTGGCAAGTCCTTCTCGGGATTTGCGGTAACCATTTTCTAGCTTGCCTTCCCTTTTGCCGTCTTTATCTTTTTTCTCAGATTTCTTCCTTAAACGGAGTGCTGTGTGCCAAGACGTTGACTTCCTGAATACAGAACATTAAACTTTGATCAATTTTTTTCAACTCCAGGTTATGTGTTATACTCTCTAGTTTCAAAAGGCATTGGAAAAGTATGTCAAAATGTTATTTCATTGTATTAAAGTATACTGAAATGAAGTAAATTAAGTATTCCATAAGGGATGCTACCCTTGGTTAAAACTGTAAGCAAGCTAGTAATATTAGTCTGTAGTTCAGTATTTCTTTAAATTGTTGCTGGAATGGTAAACTTTCTATATGAAAATACAAACTGTCAATCAAACTGAGCAATGATCAGTATGAAATCCGTATCAAAGAGCCTATAGAAGCTTTACATAAAGCTTTACTGCTAAGAGCTTTGATGTAATTTCTCCCATTGCAGATTTGAGAAAGATCTTCCTAGCACAACCAGATATTTTCAATAGGTTTGTGGCTCAAAGAGGAGATCTAGGCATTCTGAAATCTCACTTCACTTGAAACAAACATTTATGACTGTTTTCCTAAACAAAGGTGCCTAGCCTGACAACTCATTTTATTAAATAAACCAGTAACTATTGTTGCTCTTAAATCAGGTATTATTTCATCACTTTTTCCCAGAAGATTGCACTACTACAGCTTTTTAATAAGGAATATGTGCTTCTGGGCTCTTTCGTATATTTTGAAGTTTGCTAAGGGACCTCTCAAGTACTTATTCTGCTTGATGTTCATTTATTTCTCAAAGATCACATCAACTTTTGGTTTAAAAGGTTCAAAGCCTTGTCTAAATTGGAAATTTTTCTTCCCCCTTCCCTTCTACACACATCCAGGCACTCACTTGATGGTTCCATCAGGGTTGTCAATGATGACTGCACTGGTATGCCCCAAGACATAGCCGGGAATCCAGCCCTCGGCTGCGGGGCACTGATCAGTGGCGGCTCTGAACACCAAAAACATGTTCTGTTGGTTGCTGGCTAGAATCTGCACGACCTCTCCTTGGTAGACATTTATCTCATCCTCCTTCACTGCCGTGTAATCGTGTGTCACCAGCATGGTGGAGATATTGCTACTGCTGCTACTTTCACTCTGCAAGTGTCAATTGGAAGCACAAAGAGGGGGAGAAAAAAAGAATCAAGTTTAAAGTTCGTGAAGAAGACAGGCTGTTCTTGGCCTGCTACATTACAACCATTACCTGCATGATCCACGTAAGCTGTAGTCAAAGAAGAGAGCTACAATTTCTCTTTTAGAGCTGCCTGTGTCTATTTATCTTGTGCAAATTAGTTTGATCTTTGAGTACCTTCATGTACAGCTGCTGCAGAAATTTATTCCCATTACTGCTACTAAAGTTTACTTCCTTTAACTAAGAGTCAGTTTATACATAGATCTCAACTGATCTTCCTTTCAAGCTCAGACACTGAACCTTGCATCTTTATCAGGCAACAAAACTACAGTACAGCACATAGGACAGTTTTTCATGGTCTTACAGGTGCAGTTTCAAAATCATAACAGGTCAAGACTTTACCTCATAAAGACCAGAAATTCCAACAACGAAAAATACATATAGTCTTTCCTAGCACTATTTGTCAGATCTCAGACACCAGCCTTCTGCACGCAAAACATGACAAGGTACAAAAGAGCAAAATAGGCTTTTGACAGTGTCTCTCAAAACCTCAAGGCTTGTCCCTGGTTGAATCTGTATGATCAGGTTTGTTCCTTTAAATGCATAGGATGAGGTAAATTACTGAAATAAGAAATTATTCATTTCTTGGGCAAAATAGGCCCACTGAACTATCAGAATAAAGCTGGAAATCTCACTCCTAACTGATTAATGACTATGACAGCTGAGTGTTGTTAGCTGTTTATCATAAACTTTCAACTAGTGTTCGTGAATGTTGTTCGTTTCCTCACCGAGCATTTGCAGAAAGCTAATTATGGCTGATCAGGTGTACATTAAAAGTCATGCTACTTTTCAAAACAAAACACCTTCTCCTGGACACAAATCCACTGGAAATTATTATCTTTTAAAAGTAAGACTCATTTTGTCCATTTGCATGCATTTCTCATATGAGGTTTAATAAACAGAAGTGTGAAATCTATTATCAGACTATGCAACCTATTCCCTGAAATAATTTATTTCCTTCTTGAAACAAGATAAAAACGAAGTGGATGGCCTATTAATGGTGTGGCATGAGGCGTGTATGTGTGTGTGCCTATCTTTTATCTCTGTTCTTGCTTCAGACTGTTTCAGTTCACTATCAGTGAGGGCTCACTATTGCTTAGTAGTAGCTGAGTTGAAGAAGAAAATCAGTACCCAGCTGTAGCTGGAGACTGCTATGGCTTACATAGCATAACCACACGTTAGAACCACGTATGTGCTAGCAGTGAGTGGAAAGCTTGGCACACAGGATTAAAACAGTGTCACCGTTTTTTCTCAAAACTGTCAGATATTTCTCCCCTCACTGTTGAGGAGATACAGCAGTGGTCAGTGGACAGCATGGTACACTGAGCACCTGGAAAACCACGTTCTCTTCCAACCTGCTAATGGCCTTGAACAAGTCACTCCATCTCTTGGTGTCTGTGATTCCCCATGAGTGTTTTGGCTGGCTAGTCTACTGAGAAACCAAGACATTTGGAAAGGAATATTCTCAGATTACTCATTCATAGCATGTGCAGCACATTAATGCTTGGGTTTCCAGTGAGTCTGTACATTTTATTCTAGCTGAACTATTTTATTCAACCGGGTGAGTCAAGTCCATTCTGTCTTTTTTCCCCTATTACCATGATGAAGCAATGCTACCACAGAGAAAGTTCTCATCCTGGATTGTACCTCTACTAAAGGATATTTATGTTTAATTCCAGATGCTCTATTTCCAGTGGGAGAAGTCACTTTGTCTGGCTTGCAGGGCTGTCTGTGTGGTCTTTTCCTATTAGCAAGCCCCTTCCATGATTCAGGCAAACTGGGAATAGTAGAACCAAAAAACCAGCCTCATTTTCAGTCATTGTTTAAGTTAAGATTACAACTTGCTAGATTCTTTTAGCTAGATGAAAACCAACTCTATTCAGAGAAAGCTGTTTTTTTGAATTCCTTCTCTTAGACTTACAGGAGAAGAGGAAGGGAAGGCTGAAGTAGCAAAACCAACCTAAGTCCCAAACCTTGCCCCACACACTATTCCTGAGCATACTGTTTCTTAGCACGCAGCAGAATTTGTATAACTGCAGGACTCACCTTCCTGTAACATAATATTTCTTTTTCATAGTTAAATCTTGAAGGATCATATAAAACTCTGAATATTTCTTATTTTCAACAAGGAGAGATAAATCTTTTAAATAAACAAATGTCTGGTAACCATTAAGTGACAAACGTTCTTGTGAATGTGTTTATATCAGAATTTATTCTCACCACAGAAAGATAGCTTTTTCTTTTGCGTTGCAAGGAAGTAATAATTCTTGCACAGTTAATGTTTTTCTACTTAAAGTTCTGGTGGTCATCACCAACCTCAATCATGGGATTAGAGGAGGATTTATAATCAAAATATAAAAAAAATCCTCCTATATTCCTGAAATACTAGCAAAATCAATTCCTTTTTCTTCTTCTTAGAAGTAACTTTTCCTTAACCATATATGCATGTAAATACACACACAAATGGTTAAATCAAAATAAACCTTCGCAACCCATTTTCTCTAGACTGTTGAATGTGGTGTGAAATCCTGCTAAAGTATGGCCTAGAAATGGGGTTATAAATGAAGAATTATGACCCATCTCAATTACCAAACTAAAAGAAACACAGCTGTGAAGCAGAAGGCATGCATTCAGATATTACGTTTTACAGTAAGATAAAAACAAGCAATGGTGTCTTTACTGAGATAGTCTCAAAATTCAAATTTTGAAAACTCAGTGCCATCCTGTCTCTCCCTCTCTCTTTTTTTAATGGAACAACATCAATTAATGCAAGTCTTCTCTGCATATAAAAAGTACCACCATCTTGATTCACATGCTGTGCAGCAATTGTGAAATACTCCAATTATTCCAGATATTACATTATCATCACGTTTTGCTAGACTGAAGATAAACACAAGACAGAGCTAAACCAGATGAAAAGCTGAAAGAAGATCGGGATAAAAATACGATACATGCAAAGCATATTTTTTTCTTCTGAAGCTATTATAAAAGTAAGTATAAGAACTAAGAAGTCAAGAAAGCTCTGTGTTAAACAGTTCTATAAAGAAATGCATGCATTTAAAATCGTCCGGCAAGTTAGGTGATTTGCAAAATTGGTATTGCATACGATTTGTGAGAGAGCGGAAAAAACAAACGTTCGTGAACACAAGACTTAAAGAGAAAAATCAAATGTGAGTTTAAAAAGAAAGGCACCATAGCCTGCCTACCACATCCACGGCAAGTGCCTTGAAATTTTCGCTATATATTTGCACATGCCCCTGTGATTGCTGTGTTGCATTTCCTGGTGGATGTTATTACAGAGAATGTGGATTCTGTTGATACCCCAGCTTTCCGCACAAACACACCAAGTGCATACTAAAAGGTCGAATCTCCAGATGCCCTAAACCAGTTCTTCTTACAAAGCAGAAAAGACAAGTGGAGCCGCTATTTGATTTGGTTGTAGTAGAAGGAAGATTATTTTAGCTAGGTTTTGTTGGCCTATTTTGAGTGGATTGCAGGAAGCTTCCTTGACCAGACACAGGGTTTAAAAAGAGAATGTTGTACATCAACTAAGGCTGAAAGGCGAGGGGGGAAGAATAAATTAATAAAAAATAAAAATTAAGCAGCCCAGGGAATGTACTGTAGATGTCTCCACGAAGTTAAAACTCAACAGGACAATGGTGGCGGATTTGTGTGTGAAAGGGAAAAAAAGCCCCAAGGCAGTCTGCCAAAATCTCGAAGTCAGATTTAAGTGCTGGCTGCAATGCATACCCCAAGGTGCTCTGGCTGCCACGCTTCAGCATGTTAATTATGTGCCTTCAAATTAGAGACGAAAAAAGCAAGGAGAGCAAGTTAGTAAGTATCAGCCTAGTGATCTATGTTTTCAGCAGAGGCAGAAGTTGCATCTAATGTTAGCAGTTGCTTTTGTGTCTGTATACATACCCATGTTTGTATGTATACATACACAGAGAGGTAGATAATTTTGTTTTTTTTAATGTGCAGAAGATATTCGAACAGTTGATTATTTCAGAGCAGTACAGCACTGGAGAGCCAGAAGTTAGTACGGAGAGTGATGGTAACGCACAGAAAGGGAGCATGGGAAGGTTTTAGAAGAGCTCGCAGGACAGAGGTGCTCCGCTCTTACCCCATTACTCTGGGTGGAGTGAACTGACTGCTCGCTGGTCGAGGAGCATGTGCTCATGCGGTCTGTGTCCTTGCTGTGTGAAGAGTGGCGGTGGGGGTGCGCG